CCGGGGTCCCCCAGAGGCGGACTCCAGCGGCGGCGACACGCAGGGCTGCGGCCACCTCAGGGTGCGGGCATCCGGCGCTCAGGGACTCCTACGGGCGCGACCCTGCGCCCTCCAGCCGTCGGGGTGACAGGTCCTCTTTCTTAAGATCCGACTCCGGGGACACTGTTCCCGCCACGGAAGACGGACGGGGCCCCGACAGCCTCACGTCTAAAGGGAGTGCCACTTAGGACTGGCCCCCGGGCCGGGGCGCTCAAGGCGGAGGGTGGACTGTGGGCGCGGAGTCCTGGACCTTCCTCTGTGGGCACCGAGGCCCCCTCTGGCTCGCGCCTCTGGACCTGATCTCCCCACTCCCTCTTCTGTGGCACCGTGGGGCTCCTGCCTCAGCTGGGTCCCCACGGGAGACCACCAGGCGGGGCTGCAGCGCAAGGAGCTGAGCCGGATACCCCGGGGTCTCCCGGGCTGCGGGGGGCACCCCCTGGTGGCGGGCAGGAAGCCGGCGGAAGGCTTCCCACGGGCACCGCTGGGAGCCCTCTTGCCTGGCCTCCCACCCTTGCCCGCGTCGCAGAGGTTGCGCGTGCCAGCTTCTATTTCCGTGGGTCTAATTTCAGCACCCTCCGGGTCCCTGGGATTGGCCAAGGTGCCCCAGCACCGGCCACCGTTCATTTGAGGACTCTGGCTGCTGCCAGCCCTCTGTTGGCCTCTCCAGGAGCCGGTGCTCCATCTCATCGTCTTCTTCCCACCGGTCAGCGCCACTGCCCTACATGGACATCTCCACTGCGTAGAATCCCAGGACCCCTCCCTAACCTTCATGCCCCTCGGCCCCATCCACATCCCTGTACTTGCTCATCAGCGCCCACCCGGCCCCTTTAATCCCTCCCGTCCCACAGCCCTGTCTGCAGTTTCCCTGTGTGCCCTAATGATACCCGTCGTTGGTGTCCTAGTCTTTGCCCATCCACGATGATTTCTCCATCTGGCTCCCATCCTGCCTGCCTCAGTGTCTCCCTGGTCACCTACCCCTCAGATCTGCCCAGCCACTCCTCCACTCCATTCACCCCCGTTCCTCTGCTTCCCAGTGTCCTGATGCTTCTCTTCCATGCCTCCTGAAAGGGATGGCCAGTGCCACCTTTAAGCACTATCCCTGGGAGTGGCCGTGTGCTCCTCTGGGAACTCAGAGCCGAGATTTTGCAACTGCCCTCAGCTGAGGACCCTGCTCCTCCTGGGAGCCCTGTTGCAGGTTCCTGGAGACGGAACCCGTCCTCTATTCCTGATGGTCATCACACTGGAGGCACCTGGGCTGCCTTCTTCCCCATTTAAAGTACTAGAAACAGAGGCCCAAGGTCACATGGGAAAGTATCCAGAGTCAGAAATGGGGACTCAGGTGTCTTGACTTGCAGACATTACCATCGCCCTAGTGTGCGACGGGCAGGTCTGGGGAGAAGCAGAGCAGAAAGACAAGGCCAAAAGCGGCCTGAGAGCCGGCACGGTGGTGCACACCTGTCATCCCAGCAGCTTGGGAGGCTGAGGCAGGAGGATCACGAGTTCCAAGCCAGCCTCAGCAATGGTGAGGCGCTTAGCAGCTCAGTGAGACCCTGTCTCTAAATAAAATACCAAATAGGGCTGGGGGTGGGGCTCAGTGGTCGAGTGCCCCTGAGTTCCATCTCTAGTAAAAAAAAAAGCAGCCCGAAATGTTTAAGTCAGACCCCCAGCCCCTGTGCTTGGAAACCAGCTGCGTGGCTTCGACAGAGAACCCTAAATAACAGACACTGAAGACAGACTTAGTCCCTAAAAGAGGATTGTGACCCCAGGCAAGTCACAGTCCTTCTGTCGGGGGGGGGTGCGAGGGTCTCAGGGTGTTTCTGGTGGTGGCCTACGAGCATGGAGGCTCCAGGCTGGACTTCCAACGGCTCCGTCTCCCCAAACCCTGATTTTCCGGGGAGCTGCATTCTGAAACCCTCTCAGGGCAGGGCTCTGGGTGGCCGTCCCCTCCCTGCGAGCAAAGTGGGCAGCAGCCGGTTTGCCCACCACTGGGCTAGGGGGGTCGGACGATCCAATCGGGTTTTCTCCCCCTTTTCCTTCCATCAGGAAGTTTCATTTGGAAATGCATCCTCAGGTGCAGAGAGAGAGAGGGAGAGAGAGAGAGAGGGAGAGGGAATGGCTCCGGTTTACATAACGCGGGCAGCGGCTGCTGTGTGGCCTGGGAGGAGGGGCTGGGTCTGAGAGGGAGGCCGGTGGCTGTGAGGGTAGAGGTGGCCCTAAAGGGGTGGCTGGGCTGGGGCCCGGGGGTGGGCTTCCCCGTCCCTGCCAGAGCAGGCCAGGGGGTGGGGACAAGTGGGGCGTCCACCATCATTCCTCTGAGAGAAGGAGGGCCCCAGCCCAGGTCAGGTCCCCAGCGGGGGTGCTGGGCCCTCCACCCTGCACCCACCCTCCCTCCCGGGGTCTTGGGAGCACCCACGATGGAACTCCTAATAGGAGGTGTCTGCCTCCTAGGGCCGCGGGTTCTGATTCCGACCCTTTAGAGAAAGCCTAGGAGCCCCCACCCTACCCCAGCTGTCAGGACAGGGGTGACCTCAACTTTTCCCTCAGGCCAGTGGGTCTAAAGGACTGTCTCTTCTCTCCTGGGTGAGGCAGGCAAGCATTAGCAGGAAAGTTCCATCTAATTTGTGTTCTAGGTATCTGGCAAGGTGGATGAATGTTTTTGTCATTGAAGATGACTCAGTGTGGCTATTAAGGGACAAGGGTGCAAGACGGGAAGGCTGGAGGTGTGGCTGGCATGTCCAGGTGGGTAGGTTGTTGACTGTCCAAGGGCGCGCAGTCAGGAGGAGAATAGTGGCTGAAATCTATTTTCAGCTCCACTCAACAAGTCAGGTGCCCTAAAGGCAGGCTCTGCTCGGAGGAAGGGGCACCTTTCTTTAATTTGCAAAGAGGCCTCCTCTGGTGTTACCCATGGCCTGTGGAGCTGCTTGTCCCCAGAGAAGCAGGCCTTCTTGAGTTAGCACAAAGGTGGCCCAACTGGGGTCCAGGATACACACCCCCCTCCTTGGCCCAGTTCCCTGACAGTGGGACGCAGCCTTGGAGCTGGGTCTGACCCGAGGTGCAGGAACCTGGAGCTTCCATCACCCCAGGGTTGTCTCCCTCCTGTCAGTGGGCTCCCTCTGGCTGTCACATGGAGATGAGCCTGGGGGACTTCTTACTTCCTCATCAGACCCACAAGCCTTCGCCATCCACTGGCCACCAGCTCCTTCCTTCATATAATATCAATAGCTGCTCAGGAACAGAGGCATTGGAGAGTCAGACCCACCTCAGTTTGCAACTGGGTGGCTGTGTGACTTCAGGAAAGTTTCTTCACTTCTCTGAGTCTGTGTCTTCCTCTATGAAGTGGAAGGAAAATATACCTCACTGGGTCATTGTGAAGTTAAATATGCAAGCATGTGTGCGGCGCCCAGCACACAGCACACTGTGCCAACAGAGCGGTATTGTTACTCTTAACGTCCCCCGGCTGTGACCCTCAGCTCCCATAGGGCTGAAGGCAGCGACTTCTGTTTGGCTCCGGGCAGGACCTTGGCTGCCTGAGGAGTGGGGTCGGGACCACCAGGATGTGCTTCTGACCTCAGGGTCCTCCATGGACGGCCCTGGCCTCAGGGGGTGGAGGCTGCCCAGGTTCCCAACACCCTGGTTCCCCCCACGCCCCCTCCCACCACCCTTCTCAGCCCTCACAGGCTTCGGCCTGCACCACTGGGCAGCCCCTCCTGGCCCCCGGCCTCCTGTCCCCTCCCGCCGCGCTCCCTGCAGCGGTCAGAGCCATCTTCTGCAGCGCAGGTGGATCATGTCACTTCCTTGATTAAAACCCTCCCAGGGCTCCCCATCGCCTACTGAATTAAGTCCAGCTCCTCCGCACGGTGACACTCAAGGTCCCTGTAATCCGCCTGCCTCCCCCTTATCCCCCACCGGGCCTCCAAGCCCACTCACCCACCTGGTGGCCCTCCCCTGGCCATCTTGCAGCGGGTTCAAGACCCAACCTCACAGCGCCCCGTCCTCACCCACCCGCCGCCTGCTGGCCCCCCGACTTCCACTTTCAAACGTCTACTTACACATTTACGCCAAGCGTGCGCTGTGCGCCAAGCACGCGGGGCGCGAGCCGTGGACCCCAGCCCACGGGCGTCTGGGGGTCCGGGGCAGGGACACAATGGACAGTTCCGGTGTCCGTGGACAGAGCAGCAGGGGCTTCCATGGGGGCGGAGAGCCTGCAGGCGGGGTCAGGTGGAGCCGCAGTCATCCAGGGGAGACGGGAGGAAGGACGGGGCAGGGACGCAGGCCCAGGCCTGGGGAGGGGGTACCAGGTCCCCAGGGGAGGGAGCCACCCTGAGCAGGGCCACCTTGAGGCCTCCAGCAGGGAGGGGCCTTGGTGGCACTTCCCCTTAGGAAAATGGGTTGGCGGGGATGTCCGGGCCAGGGCTGCTGGTGGCCAGGCTGCCGGGTGGGCTGCAGGCCCTGAGAGGGCTGGGTGGCTGTGGAGGCCCGGGGACAGCAGGAGTCCCATGGGTCACAGAGACGGTCAGTGTGACAGGGAAGGGTCTCAAGAGCAGGTGAGCCCAGCTGGCACTGGGTATGCGGGCTCTGGGTGGGCTCCGCCTGTGTAGGAACGGGCCACCCTGCCGCGCTGGCCCTGGAGGATGGAGGAGGCCAGCGTCCAGGCCGAGCCAGTGGAGTGAAAGGAACCCCGAGGGCCCTGTCTCAGGGCCAGGTGCGGCCCGGGCAGCCGCCCCGCCCCAGCCCTGCCACCCGCCCAGCTCCTCTGCAGAGCAGTACGCCTCCGTGTCCCCAGGGCTGCCTCGGTCACCCTCCACACCGTAGAGCAGTGTCCCCCTCGAGGGGCCCTTGGCCACGTCTGTGAATGTGTTCAGTTGTCACTCTGGGTAGAAGGCTGCTGCTGGCATCTAGTGGGGACAGACCGGGGTGCCCCGGTCACCCTGCAGGGCACAGACCCCGCCCCACCCCAGCGGGTCCTGCAGCCCAGGATGGGGGCTGCCGAGTTGGGGAGCCCAGCCCCGGGGGCCGCGAGGCAGGCGCAGCCGCCCCTGGGTCCTCACGGAACGCAGCGTGGGCCAGAGAGGGCCTCGGGCGCCCAGCACGGCCGCACACCGGTCCCCTGCCAGGAGCTGGGGGCAGGCAAGGCTGGGCCCAGAAGTGGGCATGGGGGGCACGCTGCCTGCGGGCGCCCGGCCCCCTGCTTTCCTTGCCTGGGTAGGTTCTGTCATTTCGGTACCACCCACGTAAACATAGGTCACTTTTTAAAAAATAGGCAAGCTATAGACATGCGCGGCCAAAAAGGCCACCTGCTGACCGAGAGCCTGTCCAGTGGGCCTGCGGGTCTAGCCTGGCTGTGCCCGGTTTCCTCATCTGCTACGGTGGCCCCAGCACTTAACCCAGAGCCCGCCCCCAGGGGGTTTCCATCAGAGTGGCCGGGGGCACGCGCCCGTGCGGATTTATACGTGTGTGCGTGTGTGAGTGTGAGTATGTGCGTGTGTACATGTGAGTGTGCGTGTGTTGGCGTGTACGGGAGCATTTTTGATCGGCCACAGTACCACTCTGGGTGTTGGCCACCGTCTCCAGCGTAGCCTCGGTGACACAGGTAGGTTTTTAAAATGGCACCTTGCTTTCTCCGTGGCCTGGGTGACCTGCTTTCCCCTCTGTACTGTACAGTGAGTGTCTCGCGTGTCATCAGTTTTAAGAGCTGCGTGGCTCACCGGGTGCGGCTGGTCCGTGATTCATTCAGCCGCCCGCCGCCGGCCATCTGGGTTGTTTCCAGTTCTTGGCTACCTGTTCACACGTCTTCACGCACTTGTCCAGCGATTTCCTTGGGGACCACTTGGGCACTTTTGGCAGGAGGCGCGTGGCCCTGACCAGATTGCTCAAGTCGAAGCCTCTGGGTCCATCGAGGAGGGGGCGGGTCCCTGGGGAGGGACAGGGTGGACGGCAGAGAGTGGCTGGCTCCTGGGGGCAGGTCTGGCAGTCGCCAGCCCCCGGGGAAATGGAGAAGGCCGCGCCACACCTCTGTTGTCACCGCAGCACTGGCAGAATCGCAGACGGGTGGACAGAGGGTAGGGAGGTGGGCTCTGTGTGTGACAGGAAGAGTGACAGACACCAGGCAGAGGGACACGGGGTGGACAGGCCCAGGCAAGCTGATGGATGGGTGGCAGAGACAGGTGGATCCAGGTCAGCAGGCAGACAAGATGACAGACAGGTGACACGTCGGGCTGAATCAGGTGATCACATTAGGACCCTGGCCTCCCAGCAGGGGCCTGTGGGGACCAGGGGCCGAAGCTGTGCATTCTGGGGACTCCAGGGAGCTCCAGCCGGGCCCCAGGGCCACGGGGCTCCCGGGCTTACACCTTCCCGGGTGCTGTGCTGCGTTTAGGTCTCTGCAGTTGGGTGTCCATGGGGCTTGGCGGTGGCTGAGCCCAGCCCACGGTGCAGAGGGGGAACGGAGGCTTTGAGAGAGGTGGCGACGGGCCCAGGGTCCACTGGGCCTCAGAGCCGAGGGTCTTCACACCCCGGCTGGCAGGGAAGGGAGAGAGGGTGGCAGAGGGGACCACAGTGTGGCCGAGGGGGCGCAGGTGGTAGGAACCTGGTCCTGAGTCCTCCCTGTCCACCCCCCTCTGGCCATCCTATTTACACACCCCCACTGGGTCCTGCCTTGAGTACAGGACAGGGTGGTCGGGGCTCTGCCCAGCCCTGCCCCTCACCAGCTGAGTGGCCTTAGTGTCACCCGGCCTCCTGCCTCAGCTTCCTCTGCACCGACCCGAGGTTTGTAGAGAGGATCCCATGACGAGTGCCCTGTGTCCGTGCTCTGGAAGCAGAGGCCCTCATGCCACATTACTGTGCCCTGATGTTTTCCCCTGAACTCCGTGTGTGTGTGCTTGTGTGTGTGTGCGCGCGCGCGAGTGTGCACGTGTGCAAGCCTGCTCTCACACACACCTGCACAAGCAAGCTGAGCCCTTACCTCCCGTATCCTCTCTCCCCCCGCCTCCAGGGCCCTGTTAGCCAGGTGGGCACATAGTAGGACCTCCAGTCGTGTGTCTTGATGGCCCAGTTCGGGCTCCATCAGGTAGGGCACGAGGGAGGGTTCCCGGGGTGGCAGACGGCGCTCTGCTGAGCTGCACGGCATTGCCGCAGGTGGACGGACAGGGCCGGCTTCCTGGGGGGTGGAGGAGGCTTGGTGAGTGTCTGGGTGACAGCTTGTGACCCAGTTGACCAGAGCACGGAGGACACAAAAAGGAGGAATGAGAGAGGAGCAGAAGGGAGGGCCAGCAGGACTCCGTGCGGAGCCGCGGGCTGAGGAAGGTGGGCGACAGGGAGCCCCTGGAGGTGCTGACCCGAGCGGAGCGGGCAGCCCCTGGCAGGGGGGAAAGCAGCCGGGGACAGGGCATCTGGAACCACCCAGCAGACAGCGGGCAGGGCTGCCTGAGGTCGCGGAGATCAGGGGCCACAGGGAAAATACCAAGGACATAGGACCCAAGGCTTGAGCTGCTCGGGCGTGGGAGAGCAGTGGAGTGGGAGGAGGACCCGAGCACGGTGAGGTCTCAAGCCAGGGCCTGGGAGAACCAGGGTCCACTAACCAAATTACAGGAGTCTACACGTGGGAAACGTGGGGGGAGCTGGGGGTTGACCCCAGGCCCTGGACTAGGAGAGTGCTCTACCCCCCAACCTACACCCCAACTCCGAAATAGGAGAGAAAGTCGAAATGCCAGCACCTGCCCAAGCAGCCATCCATCCATCCATCCATCCAACCATTTCACCATCCCATCCAGCCATCCAGCCATCATCCATCCAACCATCTATCCATCCCATCCAACCATCCATCCAACCATTTATTCATGCATTTATCCATCCATCCATCCATCCCATTCATCCAACCATTTATCCATCCCATCCAACCATCCATCCCATCCATCCAGCCATTCATCCAACCATCCATCCATCTATCCATTCAACCATCCAACCATCCATCCCATCCATCCATCCAACCATCCAACCATCTATCCATGCATTTATCCATCCATCCATCCATCCAACCATTTATCCATCCCATCCAACCATCCAGCCATCCAACCATCCAGCCATCCAACCATCCAGCCATCCAACCATCCATCCAACCATCCAAACATCCATCCATCTATCCATTCAACCATCCAACCATCCATCCCATCCATCCATCCATCCATCCATCCATCCATTCAACCATCCATCCATCCATCCGTCCATTCGTCCATCCATCCAACAACCATCCATCCATCCATCCAACCATTTATCCATCCGTCGATCTGTCCATCCATCCATCCATCCGTCCATGCGTCCATCCATCCAGTCTATTTAACTCTCTGTCTTCCTGTGGTCCACACCCTGCTGTCTCACACACTCATCCACTCCGCTGCCATCCACTGCATGTGGACCTCTCTCTTTCTTGGCTCTACCCATCTGTCCATGCTCATTCATCCACAAATCCACCAGAGGCCCTGTCCTCCTATTCATCAATGCAAGATCTACTTTTTGTGCACCTACTATGTGCAGGGGTCAGGTGAAATCCTTCTTTTTTAATGTTTAGTTGTAGTTGGACCAAAACCTTTATTTTATTATTTCGTTTTACGTGGTGCTGAGGATCGAACCCAGGGCCTCGCACGTGCTAGGCGAGCACTCTTCAGGTGAAATCTTGACACGAGTATTTGGAGATGCCTGAAAATGAGGATAGCGATTAGAAAAGTTGACAGAAGTGACTGGGACACTTTTATCTAGCAGAGAGAAACTTGGGAAGAGACTTTGTGTCCTCAGAGGGTGGACAATGGCCGGCAGATGGGCCATGTTCTAGAAGCTTTAGCCATTAACACTGTTTTGCCATTTCCCCCTTGAATTCTGTACGTGTTTGAGTGCGAATGCACGCTCACACACACCTGCACAAGTAGGCTGAGTCCCCTTGAAGGCAAAAACTGTCTTTCACATCCTCTAAACTACCCTTCTATCAGAAGTATTTAAAAGCCAGACGGGCACATAGTAGGTGCTCCATAAATGTGTCAAATGCTCATCATCTGGCTGAGGGGATTCAGGAAGCTTCCCGGGACACAAGAGGGGAACTTGGTAGCTGGAGGGATCAAGGCTAGCTGTGAGGGAGAACTAACCCATTGATCACTACAAGGTCTGAAGTAGTTTACCTGGTAAGTGTTTGGCTGTAGGAGATACCAGATCTGGAGGGGTGACTTAGAGAAATGGGTGCAGCCGGGAGCATTTCTGGAGGGGTTAGTGGAGGAGCACTAGGGCCTGGCTTTGGAGAAAGACGGGTGGGTGGGTGGAGGAACACAGGTCCAGGAGGTGGCAGACTGCGCCCGCCACAGTCTCTGTGTGGCCAGGAGGGGCTGAGACCGGGGGGTGCCTGGTCGTGGGGCGGGGGAGATGGCAGCATTCAACCTCAGGACGGCCCTTGAGCAGGGCTCTGGCCCCCTCGGCTCCCAGCCGGCCTCCCGGGCCTCCCCACGCCCCATCCTCTGCCGCGCTATCCCCCCGTTCAGCCCGGCCCCTAATTGAGCCCCCTCAGGATGCGCCACCCTCCTCACAAATCCCAGTCCCCTCTGAGCCCCTGGCTGAGTCCCCACCGTCTCCCGGGACCCCCCTTCCTGTGCGGGCCCTGTCCCCTCCCAGCAGCGCCTCCCCCCAACAGAGCGCTTGCGCCTCTTTGCGGAGGCTCCGGGCCCCCCAGAGCCCCACCCGTCCCGGAGCCCTGAATGCTCTGAGCCTCCAGCCCCAACAACCCCCAGCTCTTGTCCCTCGCTGGGCACCTGGCCACCTCACCTAGCTCATGGCCACTGTCGGGCAGGCTGTCCCTGTTGTCACACAGGGACTTTCCG